CCTATTGAACGTATATTCCATAGGCCATGCCGTAGTACCTGTAGAGGTTTAGAAAAAAATTCACCACGCCTTTCCAATATTATAATGTATTAAAATTTAATTTTCTTTTTTAAATTCCACCCATTGGCTACCTAAGCATGTTCGTCCATAAATCCGTTCATATGTCCGTCTGCGCAACCGTATAGTATATGTGGTAAACATTCATCCTTTAGTGAAAAGTAAGATATCGCACTAAAAATTTGCAAAAAAGTATGCTAGGGATTTAATTTTTTCCAAGGACACGCCCATAAAGCCAGCACGTCTGCGCGAAAACAGCTTTTATTTTGAAAATAGAAAAAATCAACTGCGCCCCCGTCACATTATATAGCATGAAAATTATGTCCTTTTACTTTGTTTGTCTTTTTTAGGATAGCGGTGATGGGTATACAAGAATCGGTCCCGGCTGAATTTAATTTTCTTACATGTTTTTATTTGTTATGAGTGAATGGATTGATAATAGAGAATGCAGTAAGGGAAAATTATAAATGCAACAAAGTGAGCTTCACAGTTAAAAATATCGCAGAGTACGTTTTTACAACACGTACGCACAGTAACCTACACTTCTGGCCAGTTCCAGTAACAAGTTAATTTGAATACTTTTTGTAAGGGAGAAACCTTTTCTCTATCCCGAATGAAGCTTTTTCGTTCAAGCATTTGCCAATCGCTTCACAACTCAATATTCATAAACAAATCCTACATACATACTTCTCTAAATAGAGAAATGTAAATTAAATGACTTTCTTTTTTGATTTCTTGTTAATTCAGATTTAGAACAGTTACGCTATATGCGCAGACTTCGTTACATTGGTAGTGCCTCGTGAGAATGGCTCCGGTGTTGCTGCGTTTTAATGTTTACGGGAAATGTTTTTTTTTTTTTATTATTTAAATATATGCTTAATAAATTCGCTAAATATTTTATATTCTGCTGTATTTCTTGCCATAAAAAAAAAATGGTCAAAAAATCGCTTTTCTTTAAACTGCAAACTAATAGTACACTACTATCGCGCTCTTAAGCGACTGATTAAGATGATCTGTCTTTTTATTTTTCTTGTTCACTTCGACTGCTTGAAATTTTCATTATTATTATTTTACTAGCATACACATATATAAATATACAAGTATGTTGTGTATATGTTACAAATTTATAAAACTTTTATCATTTCCCCAGGTATGAAATGAGAAAAGTTTTCTACATATAATGCAGCATATGTTTGAGTGAATGCGTTAACTGTGTGCCAACTATTTGTTGCTGAACACTTTATTGGCACTGTTTCAACTGTTGTCAAGCGAAAAGTTATGTAAAATATGAGTAGGTATTTCATATGGATTTTCAACTTTAGGTGTAAAAATTTCAATCTACTCAAAAAGATTACTTCACTCCATATGGATGTAAAGAATTTGAACGAGAAAAAAAAATCCGTAAATCGTTTTCAAAATATTTATGGAAACAAGTAAAAACACTTTACCAGTGAGCGATGATTCATCGTTAAGCCCCTTTCATCGCTTCGGTTGATACAGTTACTCACATAACGACATATCAAAACAGAGGCGTTATATCGGAAGGAATGGCTAAAGTCGTCCGATCAGAACTATTTGCCATAGCATTCGCCCTTGGGTGATAACACGCCGGTCTATAAAATTTCATCAAAGTACCAAAGAAATTGCAACCTGTATGTTCAACACAAGAATACATGGGCACACATCAAGTAGACAAAGAAGCTTAAGGCGTTCCAGAAAGGGATTCTGAGTCGACTGTATACATCTGTGCTGTATACATCCGTACAAACTTAATATACCCTTATACCGCATGTGGTGTTGCGTGTACAAAAAAGCTTTATAATTGAATTGAATTACCCGAAAAATTTGATATCTTTCCGATCAGTTTCCGGTTCATTTTCCAATAAGTTTAAAGAGTTTGATGTCACTGAGATGTGGCACTGAGAATAGCGGGGAACATATCACATAACTCTTCCAAAGGTCGAACTCTTCCATATGCATTTCTTTTATGTGAAAGAATGAAGGTTTATTCAAGTCTCTGACATCAGCAGATCCTTGTGATAAATATATAGACGTGTTGAGACGATTGTTTGTCACAGTTTGACAGCAGTTTGACGAACATCTTTAGATATTTTTTACTATCGACACTTGAAAACTATATCTGAAAGCTGGGAATTGGATCGTTTCCCAAGCCATTCCCATCTCAGAAAACGATTTAAAAACGTCCGTTGACAGCCGACCGTGACGTTGTAAACCTGAAACGGTTATCGCTCATTGCAGTTTCTCGACACTCATACGCCTGAGTTTTTAGCTTTCATGTGTCGGAAGAGAACATCTGTAGCTGAACTTAAGATTACATTTGGAAACAAAATTAAAAAAAAAACATATAAGAAAATTAAATTCAGCCGGGACCGATTCTTGTATACCCATCACCGCTATCCTAAAAAAGACAAACAAAGTAAAAGGACATAATTTTCATGCTATATAATGTGAAGGGGGCGCAGTTGATTTTTTCTATTTTCAAAATAAAAGTTTCTGCCGTAGAGGCATGTGGGCTTTGTAGGTGCGTCCTTTGAAAAGTTTAGGTCAATTCGAAATCTTTTGCAAATTTTTAGCCGATATCCTCATTTTCGCTAACGGGAGAATGTTTACCACAGCAGACAGATGGACAGACGAACAGGTGGACATGTTTAGGTGCATTCAAGGGTTGTAACTCGCCAAGAGTTTGTATATTTTATGAGGTTTTTGTAGCTTGTTTCTGCGCATTAGAAACTTATTGAAAGAATAATTAAATTTTGATACACTATAATATTGGGTAGACGTAATCAATTGTTTCCATTTTTGTGCACAAGTGCTAGTTAATGGCCCAAAGAATATGGGTTCAAATTTTTCTACATTTATTTTATTTACATTTAGTTTATGAGAAATAAACAAAAAACCAATTTTCCATTCCTTTTAAAAAACAGAGATGTTCTCTGTTTACGTGGTGCTGTGGGCGTCTCCTTCGACCAATTTGGACCATCTTACCAATACCAACAAGCGTGCAAAACCTTTGAATGTTTTCGCCTAATATGAAGTCGATGTCTTCATTTTTACAGTTAGGAGAATGTTTACAAGAGAACTTACACAGACGCACAGACAGATATGCTTAAATCAATCGAGAATTTGATGCTGATCAAAAATACACACACTTTGTGGGGTCTCTGATGCTTTTCTCTGGGCGTTGCAAATGGTTTGACAAACTTAATACACCCGTTCATGCTTCAGTGACGGGTATAAGAAACCGAAATTAACTCTCAATAGACTGAACGCCAAAAGATGTTTCTTATACGTTCAATATTACATTATATTGCTATCATCTTATAGGAATACGAATGTATTCGTATATTTTACGCACTTTCTTAAAATGATGAATTCGAAGTCCTGCATATGATGCATACCTAATATGACTTAATTTTTTTTTGTTGTCAACTTTTTCTCTTTTAAGATACAAAATACAAGATACAGAATACAAAAAAAAAAAACAAAAATAAAAACAACTTTAAGGGAATTGACAGACCAAGTCAAAGCCGCCAATCGTCAACCTAGGACATAACATGGATATTAGAAACGGTATACAAATCTATCTGCACCGTTACTATAGTAAGTGTTTACATAAAACTACATTTGCGTATACTGACAATTAAGTAATGACGACAATATTTATTCAAAAATATGATATAATTATATATATAAAAAAAAAAAAAGGAATTTTATCTAAATGTACGTAATTTGCTTAAAATTAAATTTTTTTTTTTTTTTTAAATTTATAAAATGTCAATTACGAGAAAAAAAAAAAAAAATAAAAAATGTTATGCAACGAATAGTTCATTAAACAACATAACAGAAGATACGTGAATACGTGAAATTGTTGAAAATAGCGAAAAATTAAGTAAAATAAATTCATGTTAACGCAATACATTTTTATTTAAAATAAATGTTACTAATAAATTATGACCTGTTATAATTGCGATGATGTATACACATATATATTCAGTCTCTCTGTAAAATTTCATTATAAGTTTATCTTAATTAGAAAAGCAAACGTTTAAATGCACTCTAAATATTGATTAATGACTATTAAATGAAATCTGAAAAGAATGAATTCTTCGTTACAGTTGAATAAAATCATAAATGACAGTTTAATAAATATAAAATTAAAAATAATATGGAATGAAATAAATTATCGCCTTATTATCATCAACATCGCAATTAAAACGAATAAGATAAAATAATCATTAAAAGTTATTAAATATTTAATTTAATACTCAAACATTTATTAATACATCGATAAATGAATCTCATTATGTCATGTCATCATGTCATGTATTTATGAAAATTGATTTTTTTTTTTTTTTTTTTTTTAATTCTCATCCCACCGCTTATATATGCACCTATCTAACTATTCATTTGTTTCTAATAATTCCATCAGATATTTTCATTTCTCTCTAGAGTTAATAGACAAAAGCGAAAAAAATCGCAATCACAAAACATCTCGAAATGCTTATGCCATTCGATTGGGTCAATCATTGAAAACCTTCCTTCTGTTCGCATTGGTTTTTCTCTTCAGTGAACTTGCGACAAAGGCAAGAGCGAAAAGTGACGAAACTGTATGCCTTTCGCTTTTGAGAGATGGAAAACTATCCATATGTAATCCAATTCTGGTCGTCTTCGACTTATTGCTGAAGACCTTTTAAATCAATTACTTCTTCAATTTATGGATATAATGATCCGGCCACAGTATGTTCTTGATTAATATCTAATCAAGACTACTGTTTTTTTTTTTTTTTTTTTTTTTTTTTTTTTGGAGATCGTTTTAGAATATGAAAGGATTGCTTCCATAGGCGAAGCTTATCGTTTCGTTTCGATTAATTTTTTATGGTTTGAGTTGTCACTATTTTTTTATCTTTCAATTTCTGATCAGTCGCGTTCGCACGGCCCAGATGATGTCTCTTTCGACATACTACCCGATCAGTATGAAATTCGAAAAAACTATGTTGTGTGCGCGCTTAGTTACTCTCTCCTTTACACATTCGCGATATATATATTATTGGTACTCTGAACTGCAACATTGACTGTCATTGAACGAATATATTACAGTTTGGAATATTTTGAACTGCGCTTGGTGGTGGTGGTGGTGGTGGGATATTTGGAATATTCATTGTGAAAATAATCAATACTTTCATGTCTTTTGAATTCGCAATGTTAAGTAGGATTTAATACATGCATGTGTTATGTCATTGGATTTTTAAAAAAAAATTGTATTAAGCGATACTCATCTATAAATAACACAGATAGACTTTCAGACTCTTAGACTTTTCCCCCTCTCTTTGTCTCTTTCTTTCACTGTTTCTCTCTCTCTCTCTCTCTCGTTGTCTCTTTCATCTCTTTCTGATGTTTGTTTTACGAGCGTTGCTTTAGCAGTAGCAAAAATGTACAAAGAGAATTAAATTATTAGCGGTTATCCGCTACTGGAAGCATTTGTGAGCCGCAATTTTGCGGTCTATCCACAACCGCTTTATGTAGGTCATTGAATTTACCTCTTTTTGGTATGTGCAATGGTAATAGACTGACTATACAAAAACGTTTTACAACATGTTTTAGTTGGGATACGAATTACTTCCGAACGAAAGATGTTACTGACGCAGACATATATACTCCGATAACTAGCTTGGATTTTTCTGAATATAGGCTTTGGTCATTTACGAAACAAACCACTCGTTTGTGCATTAAAGTAATGGAAAAATATTCGTTTTGTTGTTGTTTTTTTGTTATTAAAAATTGTAATACGAACCTTATGACTATTACATAACAGCCCGTATAGCGCATTGTACAATAAATGCTTACAATTTTGTTCAGTTTGCTATCGCTTACCATTACATTTTCAAGTTTTCCAACGAAAATGAGAAAACTTATTTAGAGGGTAACACCACTGCATTATTTTAATTGTTATTTAATTTTTAATTTAATTTTATATTAAAATTGTTTGTTTTTTTTTTTTTTTACTATGGAAAAAATGATTAATGCGTTTATTAGGTTTTCAAAAAACATAATAATAATTTTTGAGAAATTATTAAAAAGGAGCAACATTGAAGCCATTGTCGCGAGGCATATTTGCTTCTAAAAGCTCGGTGGCACGCAATGCACGTAGTTGATGAAGACTTGAATCTACGTTTTATGAAATTACTTAACCCATTACATCTATGCATAGCCAGGGCAGAGTGAAAATTAATAAATAATAATTAGATGAACTTTTTAAAAATCGCTTCGTCTCGCATGTAGGAAATTGGAATGAAGAGAACGAAGACTCTGCGAATTGTGTTATGAACCGGTTTTTTGGGAAACAGGCGCTTAAAGTTTTAATATGCGTCGTCGACACATTTTTATTTTTCATTTTTTTTTTATAAGTTTGTTATTCATTTTTATTAATGCACTGCGATGCTCTTCCAACGTAAAGTATTCCTTCTGATTCTCCATATTCACAGATTTTCTGGCAGAAGACGCTAGGGGGTGTTGCCACAGCAGGTCAACGCTAGCGGCATACGGTGTGCACTATACGTGTTTAAAATTTTTAAAGAATTTTTTATAATTTCTCAGGAGAAGAATTCACTCTTTACGAATCGCTTTCAGGTTTATGTCGATTCCAAAGGTATGTGTGTCAAATGTTTTTGTGTGCAAATGCTTTGCAATAAGTATAAAAACTTTCTAAAGATGTCTGCCAGTGAATTAAGGAAATTTTCAAATTATTCTAGAAAATACATTTGGCTGTAACTTTCCAATCTACGAAAGCCATCGAACATAGGCAGTTTTTGGGGAATCGGGATTTTCAAGGCAAAAAATTTCTTCCAAGCAACGAATTTCTATCTCCCATATTCTAGACGATTTAAGGCATTTATAAACCAAATTTAATAAAAAATTGACAATAGCGTTACCCTTTAACTAAATCTTAATATATAATGAATGTATTACAAAACATCATTCAATAGCTGTGTTCTTGATGTTTTTTTTTTTTTTTTTTGTTTTTTTTTAAAATTAAATTTAAATACTATGTTAATGGTCGAATTTATATATGTATAACTTCTCTCTTATGATTATTGAATTGATATATTTTGTATTTTGATGCATTTAGACCTTTTCATCATAGTTTAGCTGCATTCAAAATGTAGTTACCTTACCTAAGCGCATACCTAACAATTTTCTCCGTTTTTTAGCACTTAACTTTGTCCATATAGTACTGCTGCCCTCGACCAAGAGGAACTCATCGCACAAATCATCGGTGTCTTTGGCACAAAAATACTGTTGATCTTCATGAAATTTTTCGGAACGTGAGTCACCCGATACAAAACCGCTTTCGGGACGTGATAAAGAAGCCGTATGCCAGGGTAATTGTTGAAACCAACGGGCCACCTTAGCGGTAGAAGAGAGCTAAAAAAATAAAAAAAATAAAAAAACAAATCAATTAAAATCACCCACAATTTCATTATAAAAACATATTCGCGTTTTAGCATTTTGAGCAATAATATCAACAAAAAAATTTAATCTGAGATATTTGATCAAGAAAACTGTTACAAATGTTAACAACCATAAGGCGGATACTTTGATTCAATTGTGTCGTTGTGGTCGTAGAAAAGAGGCTACAGGCAAAAGGAATACGAAGCGCGAAACATAAATCAAATTGGCGAGCAGTCATCTGAAATCCGCTCCGAATATATTAAATGAAATTAATAGTCTTTCACTGAGTTTGACTGCGGCCACAATAGACCTCCCCTTGGTAAAAAACAAAAAAATGTATTCAGAATTTTTTCATATTTTTCCTTCAATTTATTCCAAGTAGTTTTTTTTCCCTCTGTTACCTTCAACTTGAAAAAATCTTGTAAGTAATTATCGCTTGCTTCAAGCAAAAAAAAAAAAAAAGTGAAAACCAATGAGATTATGTCAAGATTTTTCCTTTCTCTAAATGCAGCTAAAAGCAGGCAATACATCGAATGAACATATTGCAACTAAAAGTATATAACTAACTTTGAAACATTTCATCCAACAGTCTAAATACCATTTCCTCTTAGTTTTGAAGCAAAAAAAAAAAAAAAAAGCAAAACAAAATCATCCATAAATAATAAAAACTATGCAATAATATTTTACTAATAATTTATTTTTTATTTTACTACTCTGTTTTTTTTATCATTATTTAATTCCATTCCCCTTTTTTTTTTTAAACTAATCTATTTGATTATTAGTATAGATAGTAATTATTTGTATAACAATCGATATTAATTTTGATATAAATTTTAATATTTATTCTTTTGTGTTACCTTTGAGCATTATATCCTCAGGTATATTAAACGTGTCTTTGAGAAGGTGTTTATTACTCTTTACCTAGAAACAATTTGTAAGGCGTTGTTGAAAATTCTTCTCTCTTTACAATTCATTACGAATCTCAACTCAGTTTATAATATTTAATTGTTAGAAATCGAAAGAAACATATTAAATACATGCAATGCACAAAGACATAACAGACCTTTCAACTTCATTTTTATGCATGTCAATCGGCAGATATGTGAAAGCCCGGTATCTCGGTACTTTGAATAATGTTGCAAGAATCCTTCCATGATACAAGTTCCAATAGATGAGTAAATGCCAGGTTCATTATAAACATATATATATAGATTTATATTGGAAGGTTTTTTTTTTTAAATCAACCTAAACGCATTTTAAGAAACTAGATTAGGTTTCCAAATGAAAAGATGAAGAAAAAAACAAAAATTGAAATGAAATGAAATGACGAATAACAACAATTAAAGACAAGTAAGAAAGTTTTACCCGACAAGGGCCCAAACTCGCACACACACCACCACTATGCTTTTCGCATTCTGGTCCCCAAATTCTTTTATTTGATACCGATATCGCTGGTATTATTAAGAAAAAATTAATCCACCAGATCACGCTGTCTACCATATTCATTGTAAAATTAGGCGAATAATATATCTTGAGGAGTGTACAAAATCGTTCAAACGTTTCGTCTTGTTTGCCTTATGATAGATAAGAATTAAAACTCAAAAAAGTGAAAAAAAAAAATTAAACTTAATTACTCGTAACTTTATGTGGACACAGCCGACTTGTTCTACTTCTGGACCTACAGAGTAAAGTGTCTTGTAAAAAAAAATGTGGAAAGTTTCACCCTTCTAACTTTGATAATATCCGAAAAACGAATTTTTGTTAGAACAGCTGAGTTGCGTTCAGTTTACGCTTCACTGCACGCCGTTCTGCTTTGACCAATTTGGGCCATTTTCAATACTAACCCGCGTACAGATGCTTCCAATGTTTCTACCAAATTTGAAGTTTATATCTTCATTTTTGCAACCAGCAGAGTACCAATAACACACAGACACACAGACGGGCTGAGACGGCTAAATCAACTCAGGCTTTAACGCTCATCACGAATATATATATATATACTTTATAGGATCCCTGAAGCTTCCAAGATTTGAGAGGTACATATATTATGGAAAAAAACAAAATGATTACACCCCCATCTTGCAGTGGTGGGTGTAATGAAATGTGTCGTGCTATAGCCCGAATTGTCTATTACTGGTTGACATCGGTGGCCGACAGTTTCGACATTCCTTTTAATATCTTCACTTTCGTATAACGTATAACCATAGCTTGATCGTAAAGTTATCTCTTCCATTTTCTATTCTTTTTGCTTAAGATACTATTCTTCAATACGATCAGAACGTTACTGTTCTGTTGTTGTACTTAGAAAACTAGGTTTCATTGACATAGGGATGTAAGTGTGCATCTTCATTGTACATCTCTTGGCATCTGTCCATCATACGGATCTAACGGGTTTAATATAATATGTTTTTTCCTAGAAACAAGCTCAATTCACCATTATTTGATTATCCTCGCTTTCGCGTATGAAACTTTTGGTTTCACTCATTCAAATATGTTTAGCTGATTTTTATGTAATTGAAAGTGTGTTTGAAAAACAAAAATAAAATTTTGCTCGTTGTTTTGATAATGAAGAGTATTCTGCTTATAGATCTTCGATCTCGACAGATTGTAGAGACTATGAATATGTTCAAAGATATATTGAATTTGATCGGATTTTGTGGCAACAGGTCGCGGCGGCTATAAAAGCTAATTGCCGCACCACTCACCATATTCTTTAGATCTGGCCCACAATTACAATTAGCCGCCCAGCAATGGTAATGGCAAAAGTATGCTCGAGAAAAGGGATTTTAATCAAACGATGCCATCATTGTGATACCTAAAACGTATGTTGAGGCTCTTAATAAATGTTTCTATAAACAAATGTTTCAGAAACATTAGACAAGCATTGAACTGATTGCATCATTCTTGGGAAGAGGCCATGTTGATGAATGAAAATGAGTTTAGCGAATAAATTTGTCTTGTTTTCTTTTTTTTCTTGTTAAGTCAAAAACTTTTCATATCTAAGAGTACACGTGAACATATTTACTCATTTATTGGAAATATTCAAGTATTTTTATTTTATACTGCATTCGTACACTTCATGTCGAGCTTGAAGAATTAAGAAAATTACTTGGCAACACTCAGTAAGGACCTAATCAATACGTCTTGGATATTGAACTTATCATAAATTTTATAGAGATAATATGCGTATAGTTTTTCTTGCGTTTTAATTGTACAATAAGCGTATTTATTATTTATTAATTTCCTACAGGAAAGAGAGAGTGAAACCCTATACATGGTTTCACATTCACTTATACAAATAATTATTAACACCTATGAATAATTGTATTTATCATACATATGTATGTATTTCATATGAATGTGTACGCATTTACAATGTTTTTCCTTTTCAGTATCTATAGGTAAAAGGGAAAAAAGTGAATAGAGATTAATTGTGCAGATTTTTCATACCGCGCCATATCCGTTTGCTGATTATTGTATCGAGACTATTAACATTGAAAGACAAATAATTTCTCTTAGTGTATGTGAAAATGTCAAAGGATGAACAAAACAAAACAAAACATAATAAAAAAAAAAAGTTCATCCGGCAGCAGTCGGCAGCGGCTTTCTCGACTCTCATACCACAATTACTCTCATCCGCGGTTCATTGATTTTGCATATTATTATTTTTTTGGTTTTGCGAATTATAAACTGTACGTAAAACTACACGCCGTCGGCCGGGAGCATGTGTATCGTTTCCGGCTTAATGCAGAATTTAAAATAATTAAAATAAATGTTCCATAACACCACATACTTTATTCATTAACTTGCTATTATTCAATATATAATTAATTTTCCAGTTTTCTATTCATTCATTCATTTATTTATTTTTCCTTTAGTTGCAGCGATTATTCATCGCAGCTTGCAAGAGAATATAAAGTGGCGAATAAGGTTTTCAAGGTCTCTCTTTGTAAATAAATACTGTAGTAAATAAACTTTCAATCACTTTACTCGCAAAAGTAGATAATTAAAATAATTTGTATTTTAAATTACGATAGATTTCAGCCTTCACGTCTACTATTAACCCCACATTATTCTAGATTTAATTGAATGAGAAGCACATATATGTATGATATATGAATTTGCATGTATTTTGATCAGCGACAGTTATTCAGTTAGTATTATTGGGTTATTCACTACGTACAGACGCTAATCATGGAACTTTCAAAATTTCATTGTCGACATTCGTGTCATTGTTTGATTTGAAGCAATCTGCTGCCGCAACTCGTAGAAGCTTACGGTGATGCTGCTCGATCATATCCCAAATTTTGGTTTTGGTTTCGATGATTTAAAAGTGATGCTTTTGATGTCAGGGAAAAGGAACGGCCTGGAGGATCAGAAGAAGTCGAAAATGATTGAATTGTAAGACTTATTGGAATTGCTGTCCAGCCAAAACAAAAACGGTTTTCTGTGGGGTATTATGACTAGCGATGAAAAGTGGATCTACTGCGACAATCCTAAGCACAAAAAGTCATGAGTTAATCCAGAACAGCCGTTCGCATCGATACCGAAACGGGATATTTATGGCGATAGAGTTTTGCTGTGCATATGGTGGGATCATTAAGATGTAGTGCATGTAGTGCGAGCTACTAAAAGTTAATGAAACTGTTGCTGCAGATATATATCGACGTCAACTGAACAAATTGAACGACGTATTGTTGCAAAAAAGGCCAGCAATAGAGGTTAACACGCTCTTACATGACAACGCTCAGCCACTTATTGCAAAACTTGTCAAGGATACCCTGTTGCAGCTCGAATGGGAAGTTCTGCCGCACCCATCGTGCTCACCAAACATAGAGCTTTGTGATTAGCGCTCAGAATGATTGAAAAAAAAACCACCAAAGTCCCTAATACGATCCGACAAAATAAACTTTCAAAATATATTGAAATCGGCCGGCTTAGGAGGAAATTTGTTTTGACTAACCTACTAACAAGTACCAAAACATTATTTGAAGCAGAAAGCAAGTCAAAGTGAATATAAATTAAGTTTCTCACCACAATAATAATGCGTAGGAGCTTACGTTGCAGGCTTCATAAAGTATGCATTGTTTTGCGTTTCTTTTTTTTTCTTGATTACGCAAGAGTTGTCCTTTATAAATGTGACCATAGTAGAGGTGAGGAAGAAAACAGGAAGGAGGATAGTTTGGGTGCTCTCGAGCGAACATCAATGAATCCAGGACAAACGGATGAGAAAGCTAACGGAATCTTGTAGTCCTTTTAAAAGACTTGAAAGATTTGGCAGTAAAATCTCTTTTATCACCGTAGAACTTCTGTTCTAGAGATATCTACACATGAACACATCAAATTCCATGTGAACTATTCTCTTATCTGTTACTGTTCGTTCTCTCCTTTCTAGTTAATTATGGCCTTAAAAATAGTACAGGCTTTAGTTTAGAGCTGTAACTTGTTGAATCTAAGCATCACCTACAATTGCAATACGCCTTGGACTATGCCTGTCAAGTGTAGCTTTTGGAGTGTAAAATTTTCCGAAAAGTGCTGGTATGTAGTACGTGTATATGGCCTATAAGGTATACAATATATTACCGATATATCGAGTGAATGGTGCCGTACACAGGAATATTGTATTGATAAGTTACAGCGGTAAGCATGAAAAGACTCTGCACACGATAAATATAACTTCTTGCCTTTTTCATCGTTGCGACGAATAAAGCAAATTATTAAAGAAAGCTTTCATTGTCCAACATACCCCAGTTTGCTATTCATAAGTCCAGTTGGCGAGATTCTTGCCCATTCTTTTTGCTTTAGTTTCTTAATATGTCAGATCGATCTATTCCAAGAATATTTGTCGTATATTTTGTCAAAATCGGATTTTATCAATTCATTACAATTTGACAAAGCATAAGATATTTTTAGTCTTCGATTATATGATGCTGCAAGGTATCTAATGATTATGAATGGCCCAGTTTTGCTCTTCGCAGTACGCATTGCAAACTAATCAATATACGAATGTAAAATTCTAGAATTTATTTATACTCAGGCTTTCAGTTCGCGAATATTAAAATTGCCATAAAAATGCTTAATGTAAGTAACATGGCCTTAATTTCGTTTGCGTAAAGATCGTGTTTGAAAATACTTCTCAATCACATCTTCAAGCTACGCATGCTAACTTTATCACCTATAATAGATATGTATCAAAAATTTGGCACAAATATTTCCCAGATTCATCTTAACGCACAATGCAAGAACAGTTAGATTCGCCGACAGATTAGATTAATAGTAATTTAAAAAAAATATTTTTCATATTTTTGTGTGTTTTATGATTGATTAATTTTTTATTAAACATATTCATCATTAAACGATCTTTGTTTTTATACTACGTCTCTTAATCTTTCAATTTTTTCCCTTCTATTAAAAGCTTCTTTTTTTTTTTTGTAAACACTAACTGAACGTAAAATAAAATCATGTAATTCTCGTTTAATCTCAATAGGATAAGGAGAGTATAAGAATAATTCTATTTTTGAAAGATTTGTTCCTGAAGTTAAATTAAATAATTTGTTTTTGGAAATATAACAACAATAAGAAAGAAAATGATTTTTTTTTTATTTTTTTTTTTTTTTTTTTGAAATATTGTATTTCTCCTAGAAGTCGGCAGCAATGTTTGTCTACAAACTTTTTAAAGTCAAGCTAAAAAGTCTGCCAAGAATTTTTTTATATTTTAAGCCTAGAAATAGGTAATGAAATTTTATGTAATAGCAATTCTTTAAACGTGACATAACCATATTAAGAGATTTCCCTGTGGAAACGTGACAGTCTTGTTGTCCATATGTTCGTCTTATAGTCAGTGTATGCTTGAATGCGTATACTTGCCTAATGTATGGTCGATCAAAATAAAAAAAAGGGGACATAATATAAACATTTTGAAATAAATTTAATATTTTTCTTTGCCAAATGATTTGTATAACCAAATAATCAAGAGATTAGATTAAATACTTTAATTATTTTTTAATTATTATTATTATTATTATTTTTTTTTTTTTTAAATTTATTTAATATTAAATTTGCATTATCTCTATTATTTTGTGGTATGCCTTGCCCACGCCGTTCTCTGCACTTGGCTCATAATTTGACTGCGATTTGGTACTTTCTCGCTAGTACTACGTGTTATATAGCTTGGTGTAGCTGATATTTTACGCTGATTAGTTATGTTACCCGATTCGTCTGTTACTCTTAGCATCACGGTGTTGTAACGTGGCGACGAAGACAATAAATTCATTTCATTATTGCTGTTATTGTTGTTATTGCTACCGTTACTACTGCTATGTAAATTATTATTACTACGCCGCATAGGCGTTAGCGCGCATTCAACCGTAGATGATGATCTGCTGTTCTCTCGTGATCCGGACGCTGTTAAGTTGCCATTCGACGCTGAGTTTGGTAGTTGTGTTAACGGTTTCATTAAATGCTCATCCAATGCATTCAGATTTTTATCTATGCTTAAGCGCATCTCTTCTGTTACGGGGGAATTGGAATAAGAGTTACGATTCAATGTGCCCATGGGCGAGGGAGTCAGATTACCGCACAACGAGCCGTGTGTTGGTGTATTTAGAAAATTGTAATTATTGCTAGCATTGTTATTATTGTTGGACGGACTGCACGACGACATAGGATTTACGAAAAAGAAGGAATTATGCGGTGAGGGAATGCTAGCAGCAGATCCATTCGCGAGTGATAGCGTAGCCGAAGAGCTCGCGCCTAAATTTAAAGCCTGCAAACGATTCAATAGTTCCTGATTAATTTGAAATAGATCTTTGGAGAAAGCATCGTGAGGGGATTGCTGCTGCTGTTGTTGTTGCTGCTGTTGTTGGGCGGCCGATGAGCTTAATTGTTGCAATTGTGTGTTTATCGTCTGCAAATGATTCATTGAAGGAAAGGGACTGGTAGAGAGTGTACTAGTGCTACTGGTCGCATTGGCGGCGGACACATTCAAATGCATTTGCGATTGATGCAAACTCGGGCCGGATGTTGGTGGCGTTAACGCGTTACTTTGCTGGACAGCAGTAGCAGCTGCCAGTGCCGCTCCGGCAGCTACTGCTGGTGGCGAGGCGGGTATATGTTGTTGTTGTTGCTGCTGCTGTTGCTGTTGTAGGCTCTGCAAATTGTGCAAATTCTGCGTTTGCTGATTCAAACCACTTAACTGATGACTCAATGATGTCAATTGCTGGTTAATTGAACCCAAATTACTGATCTGCTGATTAATTGTTGCTAAATTATTGTTGCCTGCTGTCGCCTGCAGTAACATTTGCAGTTGCGACTATTTGCGCAGATAATGGGTTACGTTGATGGTGAAGGGAAGAGAAAATAAACACAAATTGCTTTTTCTTTCATTTCCGTTCATTCAAAGACTTTTTCATATTTAATTTAACAACAACAGCAACCCAAAAATTTAAACACAAATATCACAGCACGAAACAAAGACAAAAAAAAAAAAGCCATAAAATTCAGGCAGACATAAAAGCGAGCTAAAATATAAAAAATGCAAAGTATTCTCGGAAACGCATTAATGACAACGAAACACTGTTTGGTTATAAGGCACTGTTTAACTAGCATTGAAGTAACACGTAATAAAAACTTTTAAAAGCTTTATGAACGTCATGCAGTCTTGAGTATAAAGCAGAAAAAATTTAACATAACAAAAGCGGTTTTTTTTTTTCTCAAATTAAAAATAAAGTGTTTTAAATAAAGTCGCTTTTTAATCAGTTCTTTGTTAAGAATAAATTTCTTTTCAATTGCATTGCTTTGAAGCATAGTAAACGAGAAAATATATCAAACGTATTAAGTGAAGAAGAACAATTACAATAACACAATAAACGTTTAAAAACAAATGCAAAAAGAAAGAAAGAAAAAAAAAAAGGAAGAAAAGTAAAATGTGAACCCACCTGTGGTGCTATACCAATATTAGCGGTGGTAAGACCCGATGCTTGCTGTTCATTATAAGCCCCTAGTGAAGCTAAATGTTCTAATAGTTCACGATTTTGTTGCAACAGCTGTTGAGTACGTGCCTTTTATAATGAAAGAAAAAGAAAATCAATTGTTCCTCGATTAGTGGTTGAAATCATTGAAAAGAAGAAACAAATATTTACCTGGGCCTCAATACGCGCATTCGTTTCTGTTATGAGTTGCTCTCTCACTAACATTAATTGGGCTAAAGCTTGCCGCGTTTGCATCGCCTGCTGTTCTAGTTGGTCTTTGAGTTTATTTATCTCACGGCTGGGGGATGATGGCATACCGTTAATGGACGATTTGTCCTCGTCAGTCTGCAATTAAACAGTAAAATATCTTGAGAATCCGAGTATTTGCGGATAATAGCCAAACGTTTAATAAATCAACACAAAAATATTTTAAATTCACATTTTCAATCAGAATCGAATTATTATATAAATATTATATAAAAAATAATTTTTTAAATTTTTATTTAAATTTTTATTTAAATTATTTTTTTCTTTTTTTTTTTTCATATGACCTAGGTACAGTGGTTAAGAAAAAAATTGCTGATGTTTTTTCATAAAAATGGATTTCATTAAAGCCAAATATGGGCCATTTTTATGCGTACTCTTCTTCTTATTTTTCTAAGCTCCGAACGAAAAACTGAACCAAGTTATTTTTATACAATCTTTCTCAATTTTTGCCAAGACAGTAAATACAGATATAGCCTGACATTGTCGTGGTGGTCTGCTTTATATCAATCGGACGCTTTAATTGCATTAATTGTCGGCGGTAGAGGATAAAATCAATCGATTGTTCGCCTCCATCATCCACTATCATCCGATCGAATATAAAGCTCTATGTTACGCAATTGCCGTCATTTCTCCAGCTACACCCACTTGGGTTCATTTCGATTTTAAGCGTATTATGGTCGTGTGTCATCCCCTTTCCATCACCCTTTATGAATCTCTCCGAAAATGGCTCGTTTTTTATAGATCAAATTTTTGACCGTTAAACCGTACGTCATCAAAATATCGAGCTTCTTCTTGAATCTAGCTTTATGGAAACGATTCAACACTTTGTGTTGACACTTGTGTCTGATTGATTCTATCAACGATCGAACGTCGAGTGGAGTGGGACGCGAAAACTAGAAAATTATTTATTTGCTGCTAATTTCTTATGAAACATTTTCATCATTTCAATACAATGAATAAATTCAGAAGCTTGCGAAGCAATACCGCCTTCGTTAAAGCGATAAAGATACACTAAAATATTACGGTTTTTTCCAATATTTACCTCGATTTCTGAATCTAATTATATTCGAAATAGTTAACAAAGGCTATCACATATTTATTTTTTTTCTAATTATCTAGGGTCTAGCGCTTTTCGCGCGCTACAGCATCCTTAGCATTGGACACAATTTTTGTAATTTATTTATTTACTTATTTTAAGAATATTGCATAGAAATTAATTTTTATGCAATACAAGAAAAGGAACATTAGTATCAAAGCCCATCGGTTCACCTAAAGTAATATTTATATGTTTTATAAAAACACATATATGTAGGCATGTTGTAGAGACAGGTATAGGTGTTAAAATTATACTAAATTTAGGATATGAGAGTCATATATAAAATTATATTGCTTGGCGATTTAAGAAGGGGTGTAACCGGTTCATGCCCAATATGGGCATTTCTTCTTTAGGCTAATGGACAACAGTTATTTAGTCGAGGTTAGGTTGCCGCAAAGATGACATAGCCGTTTCCTATTCTTACCTAATAGATGACTGTGAGTATGGTTGGTATGCCCCTATCGCAGTTTTATGAATGGCTTCAAATTTTTAATATTTACGCTTTTACGATAGCTCACTTTATTTTCCAAACGATTAATTTTTATTATAAGGTTGGGTAAATGCGTTAGTAGGCATCCGGCTTCTCCACGACAGGAGAATTTTTCCGCATAAAATTCTTAAGTCTCTCTTATTATAGGCAGAAAATATCGAAATTAGTGAATTAGAGAATACTTAAACTGTGAGGTTTGTTAGTTCATTGCCCGGAATATCAGCATGGCAAAGCATCCAAATGAGTCTCAAGTTATTTTGATTTTGATTTAATTTTTTTCGAGTTTGTACTAACGCAGGAGTGTCATTGCTAAGATCAAGAATTGCATTAAGGGCTCTTAGACGGTCGGCCTCCACTTTACCTCTACTCAGAATTTACCTCCACTCTTCAGCGGTAAACAGGGAACAATAATCGTTTATAAAATCAACTTCTGATATCTTGAAACAATAAATGATTATGTGCTGGTGAAGAGTTTACGGACCAGGCGGAACTTGACAAATTGAGAGCGTTGAAACGACACTTCCATACCGATTCTTTTAAAATGTTATCGGTTCAGTTTTTTTTTAGTATTTTAATTGTTCGATTACTATAGTCATACACTTAACGAGGTCTTTAGCGCTTATTTTGCGCTTATTTTGCGATGAATAAGACAATCGGCCGTCACGAAGGCCAGATTGAAGATCTTTAGGATCTATTTCAATGGTTAGACTTTATTTTAGTTTCAAAGGCTGTGATCGCTGTCAATTGAAGGGCATTAATTCGTCCTCAATATATTTTCGATATCGTTAACTGATGCGGTTATTTGAAAACCTTCTAAAGAAATTTAAATTCATTTCATATTTAATAATTTTCAGAATTATAATTGTTTTCCAATAAGCAATTCTAATCTGAATATATCTGCGTATAAGGAATCTCGAAACAGAATCGAAATTTTTCAATAAATTTTGATCTACAATGACATCGAAGCCTATAGCAATTTCAAGCAAAAACTCTTCCTGATCGCACCGTAGTAAACTTATGTTCACAATCAACCAAAATCAAGCAACTATGTTTGATCTTCTTCTAATGCGTGCCATTTTAAATCACTAAGCTACTAAGTTAGGTTATGACTTGCTCTTGACTTATTCAGCAGCGCTCTAATAAGGTTAAAAACCTTATCTAGCCAACTAACTAAGCCAACTTTGAAATTGTATGTATTATAAATTGCGTAAAGAGTTAATATATCTAATCAATGATGATGTATCGTCTGCGAAAGAGATATTTAAAACAAAGTAAAAATGATTTTTTTTATCTGGATTTTATTGTTAAATAAACATTTTCCTTCGCATAGTCTGTGCGTTAGCCAAATTAAAAGAAAAAAAAAAACAAATGAATAAAAAAGTTTAAAAAAAGAAAATCGCACTCTATTAGCTAAACCGACGGCAGCAGCAACAATAGTCGACAAAAATCAAATAATCTACGCAGCATAGAAAAAACAAAAAAAAAAAAACAAAAAAAAAAAAAATAAGAACAAATGTTTATTTACACTGGTGATGACATGAGTTTTATAAACTTTTACTTAACGCCTTAAAAATGGAAAAAAAAAGGCAAAGATGGATAAAATTCTGAAGAGTAAAAACTTTTGTTTATGAGGAGAGAAATGTTGTTCGTGTTTTATCGTCACAAGTTCACTCGTTTGGCGAGCAAATGACGTGTGTCATATTAATTAGTTTAATTTAGGAAATTAATTAAAACTTAAAACACATGTTAGCGCAGCACACGCGATATATTTATTATCTGCAATGCTATCGCCCCGCGTAATCTTCGATTTACATGAGAGGATGTACATGTGCACAGGCTCGCGCGTGTAGGCATATGCACACAATATATTGTATATCTTCCTGTCCTGTTCCTCCTGTTTCTAAACAGAAATCTTGGGTTGCGTTAATTGCTTGAATTGCTTGTTGAAAAACTTATTCACGAATGTAAATAAATAAGTGATGAAGTAATATATTCAAAATGTTTACAAAACGTAAGCGGATGCATACGATTTTCCACGATTTCGTTTCTACCCGTCGTAGTCTTCGCCTTCTTATCTTCTCGCTACAATTTAAGATCAATAAATTTGCGACAACATATGATTAAAGTAAAACATTTTGTCAATATTTGCACAGGCATTGGCAGTGTGTTTCATATCACTAAACGGAAACCTATCAGCAATGCGTTCGTGTTTTATGCATTGAAATTGTTTGCAAGCACATTGCATAGCATTACCGAAGGTAAGGAAAAATGAATAGATCGCTTTAATCGGGTCCTCCTTCCTATTCGTTCTTTCGAGAGTTGTTCAAGTATTTTACCAACCGTTAGCCTAAGTGATTTGCCGGCTTTGCGATGAAATCATAATTTTATGATGTCACGTTTAATGTATAGCCTCGACGGATTGTCGTTATCTCCATTTGAACAGTCTTCCCATGATACAGTTCTCGCCGCCTTTATGAACTTGAATTATTATACTTGAGAGAAAAAAATATGCGATTGTAGCTAAAAAGTCCATTTAGTCGATTTAGCTGAGTATAAAGTGCTATGAGCCGTTGTAACCGATTGTACTTATTGCTAAGGAACACTAGCAATAACTTCGCCACGTAATACAGTTAGCAGGACTACATTGGAATATGATGCCCTTACCACTGTACTCTGATCAATACTTGTTTCAATCGATGGTCTATTGTTTGTCCGAGCAATGCTTTCATTTCTGCGCCAGTACTCAAAAGATGAACCTTTTGCGGATAACCTCAAAAGACCATCCAGTCTTTTCATCTATCAACTCATATTTTATTACCCCAAAATCCAAGGTATGACTAGCAAAGGACATTTCTCTTCATTTAAGTGTTTTTTCATTGAAAAAAGAAAAACCCGTTCAAAATTTATTTGCACTCCTAGTATCGGACACTGGCCCAAATTTGCTGAGTGCGTATTTTAGCGTCAAGCAAGGTTCATAAAATATTGAAAATAACTCAAATTTTTTCTTAAAGGCCTTCCTTGCATCCACAGTCAATCACGGCTTCATAAGTAAATATTAAGCCTTTAGAAGCTGCAAGAAATGAAAGCAAAGCATAAAAGGACTCGATAGGTGCACTGTCGAAAAATGCTATCCACTTGAAGGGTTTTTAGTAATGTAACAAAAGCAAATCATTGGGAAAAAGTAAATTTTTATTTACATATAAATGAAGGGAGAAATTAGGTAACTGTGTCAGCCACCATCATCACGAAAGTTACGATACGTATGCACATTACATTAATTTACTATTACTTACGATTAAACTGCCGGATTTACTTAAATTAGTTTGTGGCACTAACTCCAAATGACTGGGCCTCTGTGATGGTAGACTTAAATCTGGGGTGACGACTAAATGATCTGAAAATAGAAACATTATTGCTTTAATGAAAAAAATCTATTCTTCGACAAGATATATTATTAATAATGATCTCCTTTTTCTCCTCTGTCCTAAATTTCTAATTCTATATTAAAAGAAATTCATTCTTGCGGTCGCAGATTAAATGTTATCGCGTTAATGCGAATTTTGATTGAAAACTTTTTGCTTCTTATACGCTGCCAGACAATTAATGTTCGTTATTTATAAAAAAATAAAAGAAAAAATAAAAAACAAAAAGAAAACCAACACAAGAAAGAACTTTGACGTCAAAGTCCACCTTGCGCTCGAATTGTTTAAATAAAATGAACAAAAATAAATAAATTAAATTGAAACACAAAAAAAAAAAAAAACAGAAAAACAAAAAAAAGAATCGAAAATTTTTTTTTCGTTAATCAATCATAAATTTAAAGAAGAGAAAAATGATTTCTTCCTTAGTACTTGATATCAAAATGCAGGCAGGTACGAGAACCGTTGCTATGGTCTATAAAGAATGCGAATCTTCGCCTTAATTTCGTTGACTAATTTCACAGAAATTGTGTTTTCCTTCAATATGCTTACATTTATCACTAATTGACAGCGCTACGCTTTCAGTCGGCCTATTAGCATCGCTCAACGGCATTCAATGACTGAAAAAATGGTTGCCTGAGTGATTTAGAGTAAAAAGATAGAAAAATTTTATACCATAGTCATAGGATTTTCCATTGAAGTCCTCTTCAAGAAGACGGCGGAAAAGCTATAATCTTCCACTTTGAGATAGGCATAGAGAAGAAAGAAAGAAGCCAGCATATTGGTAGAATGAAGAAATTAGCCAGCTTAGGGCCGAATATATAAAAGCCAAGAGACGACGAATAAAAAAAAAACGCGAAAGTCTCTCAGAGCAGCAATAAAAGGCACTAAAGTGAATTGGTAGAAAGAATTATATAGACAATAATCCATGGGGTTTGCCGTACATAATGATAGCAAACAAGGCCTGTCCAGGGAAGTTCATTCCAGGAGTTCGATATAAATCCACACAAAGACGACATCCGAACCCCTAATCTCAGACAAGGACGGGAAGGGTAGGATGATACAGTGAGATCAAGTATCCATAAGGGTCCATTTCGCAGTAATGTGAAATAAAGCGGTACCGGGACAACGATTAACTTTCGTGTTAAGTGTTAAGATAATGTTAAGTAAGTGAAATTTCCTTTAAACGGCAACGTCACTGTAAACTTTTCAGAAATTCAATATCTTTTTTATTAGCTTAAACGATGCCTTCAATGCACAATGATGTATTGATGTCAAAATTGACATTGAAAGATATTTAGGGGCGTGGCAAAATTTCAGATACCAAATAATTCTGATTATACGATCATGGTTGTATGGCATTGACGCTACGAACACTGCAACTGAACATGCAACACAAGATATTTTTGATTCGTTAATTTGTACATTTCCTTTTAACAAAAGAGTTGCCATTTTTGAATTGAACCAAGTCCTTGTCAAACACCAAAAATCAATATTTGAAAACAATTCGACGCCAGAGTATAGATTAAGTGATTCCTTTATGTTGTTTCCTTAATTCTAATTTGGACCAGGTACACTGCGTGCGGCAGAGCCTCACGAGAATAAGTCTGGCGTTACCATTTTTTTAATATTTTTCCAAAGTAATTGTTTTTATCCGCCTGTTTAATAACCTCATCAAATATTATTACTGTCCTGCCTTTAGACCATTACACTGGAGCTATGATTTCTGTAAATTTTGTTAATCGTATTGAATGTTGTGCCACCTTTATTTAAATGCACATGTTGAAGGCGAACTGTATAATTGGATCAATTATTCGAAAAAAGGCGGATATTCGGTAAACTTAGATACCGCAGCGAAGATGGCAAGAGAACATTTGAGACATAAGTTTCTTGCTTTGGGACAAACTTGCGTGTTTATGAAAGTGCCAGAAAATTCGCTCAGATCACAATCATTAAAGCTTCACGGGACCCTCTATGCATACTTTCATGTCGTAAACTTAATAGACGAGTTGTGATGGATCTATAGAATGAAAAGCAAACGAAAATGACGTGAACCTTATCTTGATATATTACATAAATCTTTCTTTCATATTTTATATATAAATTTTTCAAAACAAAAATTATTTAATTTTGTATTTGTTTTTTTTTTTTTTTTTTTTTTTTTTATTTTATTTTATTTTTTTTTATTTGATTTTCATATGTTGGACTTTTCTTCTATTTTCTGAACGCATTTATCATTAAAAAGTCATTAAATTAACAATAATGTGAAGGTTTTCATCGTTGACACATGTGGCCTTGACTTATAGCGATTCTTTAGATTAAAAAAACACACAAAAAAAAAAGAAGTAGAAATTAAACACAAGTTATATTGTATTCAAAATTTATTGCTGAATGAAATCTAGAAAGTCAATTGGTTTTACGCATTTGCGGGGCATAGATCGCGGACGAATTGAATAAGGGGCGGCGTGAACTATATTTGTCATGTGTGTGATTTATATCACTTAGTGAAATGCAATGTAGTAAACTTGGAACATAATTTAAGAAATGAAAACGGATAACAAAATGGAAAATAATTTTCTAAGATTTTTAGTGAAAATTTTTTCATTAAATATATATATATTTTTCTTGTTTTCAAATACTTTTAATAAAACTATAAAAATCATTATTATTAATTTGCTACTATTTCGGTTCAAAATAAATGGCAAGGTGTGGCGTTAATAAGTTTTCTGATTTTATTACTTCACAAATATTTTTCATGTAAAATTATTTTCAAATTTTTATTGATTTTCTTTGGGAAACGTTTGCTATGGCTATTGCTGTTGCGTCGCGTTTCGCCGCATTTGCGAGTTAGCAATAATTTGTAATATGAAAACGATCATTTTTTTATTTACAATTTACAAATATTTTATGAGGCGGAACAATTTTAAGAATTTCAAATTAAATTTTCTATTAATTTTTTTAAAGTAAATAAACGCGCTCTTTAAATATCTTTAACTATTCGGTTATAATGGTTGGTTGGTTGGTTGCCTTAAAATTTCTGTACACAATTATTATTATAAAGAAAAATTGAAATTTTCATAAATTTAAAAATTTTTTAAAATTGATAAAAATTTTTAAAATTTTTAAAATTTAAAAATTTTGTGGCCCGGGCAATTTAAACAAAATCAAAAAAAAAAAAAAAAAAACTTTCAACGACACTTTTGATAATGAAATTTTTTCCTTAGTCTCTACAACCCAAAAACTTACATGCAGACGAACAAAATGCTTTAGAAACTTTATACAGATTATATTTTATATAACAAAAATGATAACAAAACAGGAAAAAAAAAAAAGTTTTGCTGAGCTTACACCGAACTTATTCATACAGTCTTCCATCTTCTGTCAATCTTCTTGGAGGATAAAAATTCGCATTCAATTGTTCGTAGTTGGTCTTTTGTTCGTTTAAATGCAAATGCCTTGAGTATCAAATATGATATGAGACCTAAAACTTGCTAAGAAGTTTTAAGAGAACATCCGATACGACCACCTAAACCTGAACTTGAACTTGAATGAAGATCAATTATCAATCATTTGACCATGAAATATACAAGCTTGACATGTATTTTCGATATATTTCGGAAAATGCGTAAACGTTTCCCAAGACGGCACGGAAAGAAAGCCGATTAGTCGTAAGCGAAAGTGTGTTTTAGTTGTGGTGATATCGTCGTAGTAGCATCCTAGTCCTGTCGCTATTGATCTCAATCAAACCAATATCTTAATCGTGGTCGCCTGACATCGGAAGCACTTTCGATTTTCATCAAGTAACTATATAGAGCTACGTATGAAAATTTGCAATCAATAGAAAACAAATTTGATTTGCATCTAACGTTCGCTACATGGAAGAACTCGACTCGATTTGTTCTTTCAGACAACGCATTGAGGTGATTTCAACAGACAGACATAAGGCGTTTAACTGCTTCCGCTATTCATGCGGATCAAGTACATCGCATATGTATGCGTTGCAAATATTTTACAAATCTAAGATATTCGTGTTTATCTTAGTTTATGCGAAATAAAAGTTGGAAGAGAAATTTATGCAAAAGAGGATAAGCTCTCGAAATAACTGCAAATCTCATTGCTGCTAATGTGCCCGTACTCATGCTTTTACAACTTCATGCTTGTACAACTAAAATGAGTGTGTGTGTGTGTGTGTGTGTGTGTGTGTAAATCACATAAGCCATCGATCAATAACTCATGCATACGAATGTAACAAAAGTACATATTAGTGCCGTCCCTTAAACAATACCATCACAAAATTTCATATGATTTCTATCCGGTTCGTGTACGAGTGCACAGTTACATTGCTGGCGCTATACAAAGGAAAAATCCGAACTTCACGTGTTTAGTAAAGATTAAATTTTAATGGTAAAAAGTTCGCATTGGCTTGGAAGATGTTATTGACGGCAATTCTTCTTCGCCAAAAAAAAAAAGAAAATAATTTGCCGATGGTCTGTCGCTTTTAAACAAGATTGTACGCGCACCGATCATTCTGAGGATATAGAATTGAAAGTATTTCAAATACATTTCCGAACGGAATTTATTCCCTATTTTTCATGAAAATTTCAGCAGAAAAGCACTCATAGCTGGCAACTTTTCATAAATTGCTGCTAAAGGTAATCTTCAGTGACTATTGAATGCTTTCAAATTTCAAAAGCACTCGACGATCAGATGAGAGATCATTTTATACAAACGGCATCAAAATATTAGGAAAACGTTGCACTGACTCCATCGCTCTTAAAGGAGTTTACGTTACTGAACGAAATCAAATTTTGCCTACGAAAGAAACAAAGAAGGAATTTTTTCCTCTTTCCTGTTTCCTGTTTCGTCCCCCGGGTATTATTAATAACTTATTATGTTATCTAAAGGCATACCGAATATTTTATAAACGTTTATTAAATGCCATTAAAATTAATGCTACTTTAAATGCTGTCAATGATAAAAAAAAAGTATCTTGACAAACTTGTTAATATGTTCTCTAATGTATTTCTGATGTTAAGTCTTTCATTCTATTTATCATAGCTCGTATCGTTGTAGCTGCCTAGTGATGGAGGGCATCGATAAAAGTCACTAAAAATGAGTAAAAAAAAAGTCGATTATGTTTATGCGTTCTATACATGTATATATCACATGACACAAACAAATTTTTTTGAAAAGTATGTCAAAGATATGGAGGGAAAAAAATTTTCCGCTAAGTCATAAGTTATAAGTTAATTGTCAACAATAAGTCGGTGGAATTATGCTTTCAAGCAAATTTGGTTTTACTTTATGTTTTATAAAAGCATCACACACATATATAACCTATAAGAGAATTTAAGGGACTTTACAATAAAATATTTATTTCCTTTGAATCGGAGCGAAGGCTCCGTACCCATCTCAATATTCCGTGGCCGTGTGTTATCACATAAAATGATATAATGCATATTTAGTTCAAGTTATTTATTTATTTTCTTGGGCAGATTTATCAAACTTGATTTCTGCACTTTATATATATGTATGTATGAATATTATCCGCATTACATATTAGATCTAAGTTAATCTGGGCATTTATTGATGTAACATGAACATGACTGATATGTATTTGAGCGAATATAACCTTGCGTTTTAATTTAAAACTGCACATGGCATTCTACTAACTTGGCAATGATCTTTCAACAGCCATGACTTTTCAGGTGACTATAAATCTTGGGTGGCATTGACCGACATTTTAAATAAACTCAATATATTTCTATTGCCATCATCAGTCGCTTTTTTAATTTATTTTCTTTTTCTTTTTTTCAACTTACCCTTCTTATTATGTCCATCATCATCGCTGATCTGGTGATCAGAACGTGTTTCTACATCCAAAAGTTCTGACGACGAAACATCGGAACGGTCTTCATTGTGATCAAGGGGATTTTTATGGATATTAAATTTGTGACATACTTCAAAAGCCTGACCTACGGTGCGTACAATACGCATTGCCTGAGACTGTAAAAGAAAATAGAAAAGAAAAAATAATTTTGAAATATTTCAAAGATTTTCAATTCTATATCAATTTCAATACGTTTGTATAGGGTTGATAAAGAGTTGCATTTGACATAAATTCAATTCAATTTTATTTCATGGATACACACGTGGGAGCATATCCCATACGGAAAAAATGAACACTGTCGGTTCTGCGTGTGTTCTGCGATTTCGATTGAGCGATTATATTTAACAATACGAGCCCATCGAAACGCTTTCATTTCCTGCGCGTACTATGAGTAAGAACCAATAAAGAGAACTATATCGGTCGTTCAAGAAAGGAAGAACGCTTTCTGTCTTATCCTTTTCGGCAATTAATAAATGCAAGTGCGAAGCAAGCCACTGCCTTTTTTCTGAAATTAATTATTCCTTCCATAAATAAAGACTGTGTCTGTGTTGCAAGATTGCAAGCGTGAAGTCTTAGACTTGATCTTATAAACAAGAAGAGGTAGACTTTTAGTGTTTGTTTCATCATTAAAAGGCTGGCACTTTACATTTACATTTTCCAATCACAAACTTTGGCAATTGAGACTATTCCGTACAACTGCAAGCGTAAAACCTGAGCTTTCCACTCATAATCAAAAGTTTCTCGAGTCTTCACAATCACCGAAGAAGAAGAAAGTTTATCGAACGGCACCTTTTGACAAGCCAATGTGGCAAATACATAAATAAAAATACTTTGTCTCTCGTCAAAGAGGAATATTAAGGATAAGGATAGTTGATCGTGATTGCACGACCGCGGTGGGACCACCCTTAAGCAGACATTATTCTTTAAAGGCACGTAAAAGACTATTGCCGGGCATAGCCGATATCATTGAATGCCCTGAATCTCTGTTTTTTCGAAAAAAATTTTGCACTTATTTTCATAATGAGTCCACAAAAATGATGTCTTGTTCCTATATATATATATATATATATAATTTTTTTTTTTTCTTGTAAAGAAATAATTCTCTTTATAAAATATTTAAAATAAGACACTTTTAAGGGTTTAAATTTTCGTAGAAACGATTATATTCGGAAGGTATTCAAATTATTGACCTATCCGGTTCAAATATTTCATAATAGTTCCGAATGCCTAATTATTGTGATTCAAGAAGGCGTTGTTATAAAGGGAAGTGATCGTAAAAATAATTCGATCCAATCCATTAATCAATCAATCAAGGTTTTGTTCTTGACCACAAGACTTTCTCAAAATAGCAAATTGAATATAATAATATATGCACAGCCGGACTAAAAATCGGTTCAGTAAATGATTGATAAAAGCCTAGGCGATCTAAAATCGCCTCGCGTCCGCAGAAAACTTCATACAAGTCTTGACCATAGATTGTCTATCGTATAAATTTCTCTTCTTAACTATTTCGGCTGGCTACGAGCTTTAAGTTTTCTTTCTAGTAAAAATTTGTATTCAGTTTCTCACCTGCATTATGTCTTCTTGGGCGGTCAGGGTCGTATAATCAGATGTAGTTGCATGCCGCTGTTTGTTGTTATTGTATAAATTTTCACAACTTTGATTTGAGTTATTGTTATAGTTTTTGTTACTTGAATTATTTAAATTATGATTTGACGGAGATGAAATCATTGTTTCAGAACTTGGGCGACGACAGCGTCGCTTTTCAGCAACTATCGGTTCACGAAATGATAATTTTTTACGTGGTTTTTCGGACTTTGGATGTTCGCTTAATATACCAGCAGCGCCACCGCCACCAACACTACCACCACCACCACCACCACCTCCGCCACCGCTAGCACTGCCGCTGCCCATACTGCTGGTACTAGAGTTGCCGTTATTATCATATAAAACGGTAGAGTTGGGACGTTCATAGGAACCCAAACCCTCGGTTAGCGATTTACGTCGCTGACGATTTGGTGAGGAGTACCGCGTTGAAACATTGGCCTGCGCTTGATAACGTTGAGATGATGGGGAACGTCTTCGTGCGAACTCTGGACTTATATTGTTCGCGTACAAATTATAGCTATATTGTTCGGGATTAGTGTTTTGCCTCTGCAAAATACTACGTCTCTGTATAGTCGAAGAAGAAGAAGAAGAATTGGTATTAGTCGAGTTTGAGTTTGTGGTTGTATTCAAACTGGTAGTGACACGACAATTGTTCAGTATTGTAGTTTTAATGTCATTGGCTTTTTCATTGCTGGTATTATCCGGTAAAAGTTTTTTAAACTTCAGACGAGCCTTTAAAATGTTCTCATGTTGTTTGCGTTCTTTATCACAGTTTTTCAAAGCTTTGGCTTTGCCTTCTAATGATTTGCTTACGGGCATTTCTTTTTTAATTAAATAGACGATGTTTTCATCGTTGAATAGTATGTGCTTAGGAGAGGCATTACCGCTACCCCCATTAGCACTGCCCGTGCTTGTGCCAATATTGTTTTCCATGATTCCAATAGCAGCAGCAGCAGCAGCGGCAGCGGCAGCAGCACTTTTCTCCTTTCCTCCCTCACATTTCGCAAGCTCCGTATGGCTATACAACTTTGCCAATTCCTCTTGCTGTTGATAGAAATAGGCGTCTTCTTCATCGGAAAAAGCTAAACCATCTTCTTCTTCTTCTTCGACATCGGCAGTTGCCGTGGACTGTTGTTCCTGTTCCCATTTGCGCTGATAGACCTCTTTCGCGCGCATAATATTCTCAATAAAGGTGTCATCGAGAAAACGTTGATTCGTTTTATCGGCCAATTCCTGTTCAACGCAATTTATAAGTTCGTTGATATCTAAACTTTTATTACGTGAAACAACCTGACGCGCTCTACGCGTATTCGATTTTTTTGGCGATTTCTCATCTTTATTCAGCTTTTCGGTTAAAAGGTCACGTATAATGCCACCACTATTGCGAAATATGTTACGCTGGTAATTTAAATTAACTAAAGCATCGCTTTTGTCATCCGTCGGTGTATTGGATTTCGTTTCCGATTTCAGTGATTTGCGGCCACGTGACCATGTTAGAAAATCAAATGCCTTAACTATTGGACTCTTCGGACCGGAGGAAGAATCCGAGGAGCTTTTTGATTTCCATAAGCTTTTCTTTAAATTCTCTTTGCTCGTATTAGTAATCGGTATGGGTTTTGAGACCTTAGGGTTAACGTCGTGCTTCATCATGACAAATGATTTCGAACGCTTAAGTCACGAAAGCTTTTTTCTTTTGCTTTTGCTTTTTTTTTCTGTTCTTTTCTTTGTTTATGTATTTGGAAACGTTTTCTTTTCCAGTAAAACTACTTTCCACAAGTGAAAATGTTTTCCAAAAATAACGATACTGACGACATTAGTTGTATATATATATATGATTGTGTACATATATTTTTTCTGTTTTTTTTTTCTTTCTTATTTTTTTTATTTTAAGGTTATAACAATAAAAAATTGATGTGCCTTAGATGTTTGGCTTATTCATATATTGCGCGGTATAGAAACTAAATTCTTTAATAGTTATTGTTAACGGATAACGATCGGTGATGTAGAACGGCCCTTGCTGCGGGTTATTCACATTCAATCGAAATTCGCTTTCACCATATATTTACGCATATATACGTTTGTGTGCATGTGTGTATGTGTGTATTTCAGAAAATGCACTATTTTATATTTTATTTTTTTTTTTTTTAATTATAATTTTGTAGAACATTTACGTTCGCATACAAGACAAGACTTCTTCTTGCGATCTCCCACGATAACCAATCATTTCTTTCATAAATAGTTTCTTTTGGTTTTTATTTTTTTATTTATTATTATTCATTTTCTTTTTCTTTTTTTTTTTTGACTTTTATTCACATCTGGTCTGTCAATAAATTTCGGTGATAACATTACTTGCTCAGCATCTATTTGCATAAATGTTTATTTATTTTAATGTTTTGAAAACTGTTTCTTTTTATCGACTTTGCCTCTATTTGAAATTTATGTTTAGATTAAATTTGATTTTTATGTTTGTTTCCAAAACGCATATAGTAAAAGTTTTTCTTTAAGGACCCGGTAACATCATTTTCCAAAATCAAAGCAAAAATGCGTAAACAAAACGAAAAACTATTAAAGACTTTTTCGCTTTAATACGCGAAAAACTAAAAATGTCAAAATGCCATAGCAGTTGAAAATTGGCACGAGTTTGAAAAAAAAAGGATAGAAAGATGGAAGGACGTACTTTGTATTACGTTTAAAAAAAATTAATATAAGAAAAAAACAAGAAAGAACTCTATAGGCGTGCAAGACCGACCATTAAATACCCTACACCACATTGTCTTAGACAATTCTTATTATACCCATCACTGTAAGATGAGGGTACACTAGCTTTGTTTCTTTCCATAATGTGTGTAACACCTAGAAGGAAGCTTCAGAGACACTATCAAATATATTTATATTCTTGATCAGCATGAAATCCTGAGTTGATTTAGACATCTGTCTCCGCTTTTGTGTCTTTGCGTGTGTCGGTGCTGGTTGTTGGCAGAAAATTACTACTATGGGTTAATTTCCATTACCACATATTAAATCTTAGACTTTTCTGCTCTACAAAGGATCAATTTTCGTGAAATCCTTATTATATTGAATCCAAAAAATTGCCCCAGCTGGTTCAAAGTCCTTACACCAATTTAGAATGCCGAACTACTACTGCTTAGCCACTTTTGCCGAGAAATTTTGAAAATTACAATTTTTTCCCCTATAACGACTTTACAGAATGGGGTGTTATATGGGGAGTGATCGAAACTGTGGACCGATACGAAGCATTTTCAATAGCGTTCATCTAAATTTCAGCAAAATATCTCAAGAAATGTGACCTGTAGTTTTAGCACAAATTTACATGGACAGACGGACACACAGGCTTAGATCAATTCAGATTACGATTTTGATTCGATCGGCATAATAAAAGGTGGGGCTATCTTCAGCTCTTTTGCGTCTTAAATACATCCCCACTAACTTAATATACCCTGTACCACAAGTGATGTAGGGTACAAAAAGATACCAGATTTCAACGGGATTGCATTCGACCGGGTATAAATAACTTCATTCTGTGGATGTTAGTAAACGGTGCATCGATATTCTGAATTCATATAAGCAAATCTATTTCTGCTCCACACACGACACGGAAATGCTCTTTAAATTTGTTCTATGCATGGATCCATAATGACTATAAGACATTTCTACCATAATATTCATCGCATTAGTTTTTGTTTAGAGACGAAAGAGATATTCAAAAAATAATGACTATATATATATATATATATAGAGAGAAATAGTAGAATGCAGTGAATGAATTTACACGAAATCATATGAACTCAGTGAATCACGATCGCTATACCAATATGTTTTCCTCTTTTCCATAAATTATACCTTCGAAATAATATTTCGAGAATTGAACTTATTATTAAAGTCCGATGTGTTAAAACTTGCATTGCAAGCTTAAAAAATCCCGTAAATTATCCAAGCGGCATCATATAATTGTATATGAGGGGAATATTTGCGATAAATATTCAATATTTAATTTACACATAAATCGGAAAGGTGATGCCGTTTACGTTGTGTACAGATAGCGTTTCAAATCAAATCGGTTATATGATAGCCGGCTATTATAACCAGTGTAAGGTATCGTATGGATATGAATTTTGATATATCTATCATTCCAACGTACAACGATCACTATCAATAATACTTTTTCTCCCTTTGCCTCCACCGCACACATACAAAGAATACACATGTGTAAGTCGTCAAATAATACAAAGTAAGTGGTTAAGCAGTCGCGTCTCAAAATAAATAGCAATTTTTTGCTGGTAAGCTTTAAAAAAATCTTATCTAAATCAATATCATAATGAATATCGCATATCATATCGTATATGAAGATTTATTATGCAAATAGGTATCACACATATCATATTACTTGACAATGGAAGATGGCTCCATAAAATAAAAATATTTTTTGTCAATCTATGCAATAGGGGAGTAGAAGATTAAAAGCAATCTCTGTTTAGATTATAGTTAAGGCACATGAAAAATTTTACAATTTTGACTTAAAACATTTTGCTCTCACTTTCCGCAAATGAAATTAAAGTAAATAAGCCAAATCGACCTATAAATCTGCCCAGAAATTACAAAAAAAAAAACCTTTAAGTATTATGTTGTCCTTGTATGTTACAGCTTATAAAGTATGGAATTTTTTGCATAGGTCCTTTAAAAAATGGACCTTTCATTTACTCTTAATATTATTTCGGCTTTCAACTCGAAGAACAAGCCAGAAGGTCAAAAAAAAAAAAAAAAAAAAAAAAAAAATTTTTAAAAAAAAAAGCGAAATATGCGAACATGGTTCTTCTTCTTCACAATTGCGTTATGTAGAAAGTGTTGGGCTCTATGAGTTATATGATAAGCACGATAAGATGCATCGAGTGAAGGCATCTTAGGCATCTATTTGCAACATGTAATGTTCATTTGCATGCTATGTACAATCGATGACTTATTATGTTCTCGAACAAGACCTTTCTTCTATGTGGCAAAAGCTAAACAAAGCGTCAAAAAAGCGTAAAAAATATCTCTTTCGTACGGAGTTCATATTTTGCCTAAGAGATGCGACAAGTGCTGGCCGGTGATGCACAATACTTTGAATAAATATTTTTTTGCAAATTTTTTATGAATAAAAAAGAAAAGAAATCGGAAAAATATCTACGCATTTAGTAAAATACTTCGACTCTTGTCTTTATTGAGCTTACTTTACTCGTGCTGCAACATATTTCTCGACTTTCGCTTTAATATTTAAAAAGAAGATGAAATCATAAATCAAAAGTTTTTCACACCTACGTTGCGCGTACAAAAAAGTTTTCTTATATTACTTTTATGTTCTTTTTGTTCAAAATCTAAAACAAAAAAAGAAAAAAAACACACATAACCCTGCCTTTTTCTTTATTTCATTCTCATTCTATATGAAGGATGAAAAGTATCAAAACTTTTATAATATATATATATATATATATATATATATATATATTTTTATTATTATTACCGTTAAACATATCTATGTAAATAATCTTACAAACAAAAACCTAGTCGACGTAGGCAGAAACTTTCACTTTGTCCCGGTTGCTAGTATGAACAAAAGTTCTCTGTGTGCGCGGTTTTGTTGCTTTGGTTGGTGTAAAATACAAAAGTCCTTAAAGGAAAGTTTAAAAGCCGAATGGGTTTGGGCATTTGTGGTTTTGTTCGTCATATAGAAAAAACAATGCGGATATCTTGCATATACATACATATACACTATATATGCAATTCATTCAAATGTATATGCATTTGTATGCATATTAGCACGATATCTGCTCATCTCGATGCGTAGCCAATAACGTTTTTTTTTTTTTTTTTTTTTTTTTGCTCTACAATTTCGTACATTCTCTTTGTGCCATTATTATTTCTAATAAAGCAATTCCAGTATATTTAAATAGATTGGTGTGAATAAAAACACGTAAGAAAATTATAATCGTCTGTGGCCGGATCATTTGTACCCACAACAACTTTATCCTTAAAACATTGTGTAAAGAGAAGTGAAAGTTCATTACTCTATAGTGCAAATATCTGCGTTACCGATTTCTCTCATTCGTCAGGCACTGCAGAATCAACCACAGATGTAAGCATGTCCGTCTGCCCGTGTGTCCGTCTGGGTGAGATCTGTTGTAAACATTCTCCTGGGCGCAAAAATGAAGCTATCAAAGTCAAATTTGGCAAAAACATGAAAAGTTCTTGCACGTTAGTTGGTATTGAAAATGGGCCAAATAGGTGGAAGGAAACGCCCACAGCACCATGTAAACTGGGCGCACCTTTGTTTTTCAACGAAATAAAACATTATTCATGACCTATCGCAGATAAATATAAAAAAATTTAAACTCATATTCTATGGACGATTGTTTAGCATTTGTGTAAAACAATTGAAAAAATTGACCACGCCTACTTAATATTATAGTGTATTAAATTAAATTATTTCTTCTACTAATATCTTTATAACGCGCAGAAAGTCTCAAAAACCCCATAAAATGCACAAATTCTTGGCCAAATACAACCCTTGAACGCATCTAAACGTGTCCGCCTGTTCGTCTGTCCATCTGTCTGCTTGCATAACTTTGTACTATTTCTGGTAAAATATTCTTTCGTTAGCGAACGTGAAGATATCACCTAAAATTTTGCGAAAGAATTTGGAATTGACCTAAACTTTCCAAGGGCCACGCCTAGAACGCCCACATCGCTACATGAAAAAATAAAGCTTTATTTTAAAAATAGAAGAAATCAACTGCGCCCACTCCATGTTATAGAGCATGAAAATGTTGTTGTCCTTTACTTCCTTTGTCTTTT